GTCTATCTTCAATACTGGCAGCTTTCAGCTTACACATGCGGCATGAGTTCAAGGATGCATTTGGCATGTGAGTGCAGGTCACCTCTGCATGCATCGGGGAATCCCCCTGGAAGCATAACACAACACTCATGATTAAAACATCCTGGTGCAACTCATAATCATAAGCAACATGCCCCCCTGTAGCCAAATCACTAAAATTTACACTGGTTAGTAAGAAATCCAGGAATACTGATTGTAGATGAAATCACTAACTTCATTTCATCTGTTAATGTATCAGCCAACTCCAATACACTTGCCTGATTTGATGTGGTCACAAAGTGACAGTTATACTCCTGATTGGCCACATTTGGGGGAAGTCCAGAAAGTGTGAAATAAAAAGAGACATGCTTGTTAAATTGTTTGGAAATATTTCCAGATGTATCATCACAATACAAGTTTATGGGCATGTGGCGTATCACTCTTCCTCTTGACATGAATCTCCACTTATTGGGCAATGTGAGTGTTGTTTCATTGCCTATTTCTGTTAAATGATACCAGAAATAGGCATGTCAACAACAACAAAAATTAAACTCTGAATAAAGGTTTCACTTACCCCATATGAGTGATTTGCACGCCTCTGCCAATTTACCAAAATTTCCCCAGATAATTTCAGAGTATATATTTTTAAATTCTGAAACTTTGATTGTTTGCAGACGGTCAGAAGTGGACTCCAGTGCTCCTTCAAATTCAATTTTGAGCACCTTTGCATCGTGGCTTGTTGGAGAAATGAATGGCTTGGTACAATTGGCATGAATTTCATTATTCATTTTGTAGAAGTAAACTGGGACTACCACTTTTCCTGATTTCAACTGAGTGGGTTCAAAGATGTAAAAATGCTTATCATTGCTGACAGCCATTTGAACTCTCTCATTAGGTCCTAATTCCTCACGCCATTTCTTACTTTGTGATAATTACTTGAATACACTCTGGCCATTTGGATCCTCTGGGTAGAAATCCAAATGTGGATGCACATATGGGTTTGAAATCTCCTAGGTAAAAACATTATAAATTTATTCAGTATCCATTAGAATAATTTACCTCAAATCAAATATATCCAATATTGTTATTCAAACATTGAATCATGTTCATCTAAAAAATGGTGCATCTCTCTGCAATATTTTCATAAGGAAAGGGATAGATAAATATGACTTACTTGTTCTAGGATCTGTGGGATGCTCAAAGAAAAGCATTTGTGGTTCCAAATACTTTCATTTTCCAAAACATGAAAATTTAAGAGCATCCTAATGCTTTCACTAGTGTTCCTTATAGTATTCCAATGAGGTAGCTCTAACCCAGTGATGGAGAGAATAAGGCACATTTGAGAATACATGCTACGTGAAATTGAGCACCTCATATATCCCTGCGTAAGTGTACCAATCAGAGCCTAAAATCCAGAAGTGTCATTAATTTTCCCTGAGATGTTTGATAGCTCTGAGTGTAAACTCGCCTCTTGGTTTTGGTATGGGTACCAATGAGATAATGTGTTCTTGTTGACAGCCTCATTTAATTATGATACATCCATCTCTAAAGCAGTGCCTTGTACAAGGTTAACAGCTTCAAATATGGAATCATCCCAGTTACCCTCATCCTCAAATTCCACTTCTTGGAATTGATTTGGATTGAAGATTGATAATTCAGTTGTCCTTGTGGGGACTATCACTTCATCATCATCAGAATTTTCTGGATTGCCTGATGATATATCAATAGTCTCAAATGCTAGGGCAGTATCTTCAGGTTCTGATCCTGTTACTGCTGCATACATTTGAGTATCTTGGTTCAATGTTTCAGGAATTGGTTGGACCAAACTTGCATTGATTAGATGTGTTCTTGATTGTAAATGTTCTACAGGATTCAAAGTGGTTCTTCCTGGACAGGCCTCACATGCATAAGTTGTCCTGCCATGCTGGTGCGCCACAATAATGAAGCCTAAATGTGAAGAGTCAATCACAATAAATTTCAAATGAAAATTCAATAAAAAAATAACACCAAAATTTACCTGGGATATCCATGTTACCTCTGACTGTTGAGTGAGCTGTCTTTCCTTAGTCTGCTTCCTCCCTGTTCCTCTCATGTCACAGTCCGTGACACCTGTCTGTGTAGTTACCTCGGGCCAGGAAGGTGGATGAATGGTTTCCTCATCCTTCCATTCACCCATCTTTGCTGGACCCAGGTAAGTCCCTTTGTCCTGTTGTTTCTTTTGTATTTCTCTTTCTCTCAGTCTGTTTTCATTTTCTCTGATGAAATACCATCCTTCCATTCACCCATCTTTGCTGGACCCAGTTGGCCGCAACACTGACTGTTGGACTAAAAGCCCAAAGGAGCTTTATTCCAAACCAACAGTTGAGTGAAGGAGTGTGTGAATTTTTGAACCACAGGGTTGAGTGAGTTTGTTTTTTTAAAAAACAAGAGCAGTCCAATCCCCCTTGAACCAGGGACCAGTCTTCTTGCACTGGAGTGGAGGTGAGTTCATGCAAGGATGGAAATGAACTGGACAGGCAGAATTTTTTTTTGATTCAGCCCCAACATACACCAAACCCAAAAACAAATCAGAGATGGTTCATCAAAACACAGAAAAGAGGAAGGGCTCACACGGTAAGCACTTGCCTTGAAGTTGCCAGGCAAAAAAGTGTTTTTGTCTTCCAATGATTTTCTCTTAAACCACCACCTCTTAAGTATCATTTTTCCTGGTGCTTTGCCACCTTCAACGGCTTCCTTCGTGCTGTTGAGATGTCTCAACCTGTGAGCCTGGGTCTCAAAAGTGACAGCAGGACACAAGGATTGGGGGGCAATTCTAGATGTATTTCAAGGGGATAAAGAAATACAACTAGAATAAGAGAAAGGGAGAGAGAAAGAAAGAGAAAAGAAATGAATAATATCTTTTATTGTTTATTTGTTTGATAATCAAGGTTTACTACAGTCTTACTTTCCTTTAAGGATGGCTGTTATTAAGCGGAATTAATCTACGCCTCCTATCAACTGAAACTGAATAGGGTACTTGGTATTGAATATATGTCAATCCAACCTCAATTTTTTAGATCTATGATCAAGGTTCTTTAAAGGGAAACCTATTTGGTTTTCAGTTATACCACCAAACAGAGAATAATGATGACTTTATTTGATTTGATGATGATTAAGGCAGAGGTTTAGTAGAAACAGAATGATGTGATCATTCAGAGAGACAGAGAAGGAACTTAGCAGAAAGATGCAAGCTGAACTTGTGGAGTGACTTACTTATTGGTGATCCTGACACGATGAGTGGGAAGATTCCAATAGTTAAGGGACTCCAAACGATAACACGGCGATGATGCGGCGGTGAAGTATCCAAGTTGAGGTTGGTGATTTCTGGTCTGAGTTGGTTCTGGGTGGGTCTGAAGCTTGAAGATCCTGAAAATGCGAACTCAGTTTCCTCTGAGAGAATTTTCAGAGTTGGATTACATAATCACAACATGTACATGTGGTAGAGAGTTGGAATTCCAACTTGGTTGATATTTCACAAGGTACGGTGAAATATTACAAAGTCTATGAAGGAGAAGAGTAGTGTAAAAGTGTGTAGTGGTGACTAAGGTTAAAATCACATGAGGAATTCATTTCTGAAGTCAGAATTTAATAAAATCAAGATATAAAAAAGTTATAGTAGGAACATAGCTGAAAAGGAGAACTTGAGCAATCTTTTGGCCAGCTTGGCTGGCTCTAAGGCTGACACAACCACAGAAATTCACCCCAACTCCATCCCCAGCCCCTTCAGAGCCCCGCACTGGCGGCCGGCTGGCCATTGCCCAGGGCCCTGTTTCCAGTGAGGGGACACCTTGTTTCCGATTTCTTTCCAAGTCAGCTGAGCAGTCGCTATCTAATAGACAGGTTTCATCCCCACTGAGGCTCTGATCGAGGAGGCCGTTTGACCCCAGCCCGTGGATCCACTTGTCAGCCTTAGAGCCAGCACAGCTGGCCAAAAGACTGCTTTTACCATCTTTTCTCACTATAATATTACCATACCTTTTTACTCATAAGATATTTCCTGAATCTGACTTCAGATATGGATTTCTCTGCTAAATTAACCCCTAGTCACCACTGACCACTTTTATCTTACTCCAATCCTTCATATACTTTGCCTTATTCCACAGTACTTGTCTAAATTCTGCTACTCAAGAATTATAGTCCCCCTCTACCACAAGTACATGTAATCATTACGTAATCCAACTCTGAAAATCCTTTCAGAGGATTCTAAGTTCGCATTTTTCAGGATCTTCAAGGTTTTTAGACTCACTTTGAACCAGAACCACCAACAAACCAACCAACCCCGTTACCGCTTGGCGCTTAACTTGTCAAAAGGATTCCAACTCCCAGTTTTACCTCCACGTGGTCGTGCTAGGACTCTGACAGTTAGTATTCTTTCTTGTTGCTCTGCTATCTCAGTCTCACATATGGTTCTTCAACCATATCTTTCTCTCTAACTCTCTTTCTTTTGAATCAAATCAATCATACTCTTCATCTCATTGTTTGGTGGTAAACCTGAAAACCACATAGGTTTCCCTTTAAAGAGCCTTGATCATAGATCTAAAAAATAGTGGTTAGTTCTGAATATATTCAAACTAAAACCTTCTACAGTTTCTTTTGTAGAAGAGGCTAGTCTTTGACAGCTTATCAGCCATCCTACTAAAGGAAAGTAAGACTGCAGATTCAATCAAATAAAAGATAAAAAACAAATAAAAACTATTTCTCTATTTCTTTCTATTTTCCTTTCTCTCTCTTTCCCCTTTCTCTTCTGACTTCTGGTTGTATTTCTCTTCTTCTCGAAATCCAATCAGTAGTTCCCCCCCTTTTCTCTTGTGTCCTGTCGCCCACATAAGAGGCTCAGGCTCACACCACTCAAGCACGAGGAGCTGGAAGAGGATTGTCTAATCCAGTTCCCCGCCGCCAAGCCAAGTCAAACGCCAGTTTGAGGGACCCAGATGCTGCAAACAATGCCCCTGATGATGTGGGTTGGGGGGCAGGTCCACAAGTTGCTGCTGGTGTCCCCGTTATTGACCCAACCCTTAACTGGCTCCAGGAAAGCAATTGATCTCCATCCCCAGAGCATTTTTTCCGGCACCTCCTTGGATGAAGACAATGAAGATCCACAACATCAAACCCAATCGGACGTAGAGCGATTGCCGGATGCCCCCACATTTGATTGGGGGGCCAACCCACCCGCAGAAGCGCAAAACAATGCCCAGCATTGGATGGTGGGTTGATTGGTGAGCTCCGAGAACAGTTGCACTTCTCAGAGTCCAACTTACAACTTGTCAACCGACTTTTGCGAGTGAGTTTGACTGCATCCCCACCTTAACCTTACGGTACACTAGCGAGCCCCACTTCAAAATTCTAGGCCACCGATGAGGAGAAGTGGGGTCTCACTGTCATGTTTTTTGTTCACTCGCTCGGCAAGACAACTGCCGAGCATGTGGATAATGGGGCATTGCCCACCCTTGCCACCTCAACCAGAAAATTTGCTTTTTCCAATCATGTCAAGGTCAGTTTAATTCCTCTTTTGTTTGTTAGTGTACAACATACTTACCCCTAAATCCAGGGTGCCATGCGGAACATGCTGCGTCAGATCTTGACCAAGGGGAACGTAGAGGCCTACACTCGCACTATGACACTAGCAGAATTGATGCCAATCCGCCGAACCCCTTTACTAATGCTTAAGGCCAGTATGATGTCTTCTCCTTAGATTTGGCATCACTATTATGATATGTACTGATGTTTTCAGCTTTTCCTTTGGAATTTAGGCACTTGTTTGCTCACAAACCCCTGAGTTTCACCGTGACTACCTCCCGCCTGGATACCCGAACAATTTGGATGCATGCGCTGCGGTGATTCAGGTCATGAGGGGACTTCTGAAGAACGAAAAGGGACTGTTACGAAATCTGGT